GATACCGAAAATGAACTTTTTTTCAAAACAAAAAAGTTGAAATGTCATGGGAAAATATTCAAAATTGGCGTTTATACACTGGTTTTATTGTGGACTCCATCACATCAAAAAATAATTTACTTGGGAACATGGGATGAAAAAGTAATTTATTATATTGATAACGTTTATAATTTCCAGTTTTACTTTCCATTATATACAATGAGAGGTTATCTCCCATAATGCATTGCATATATGTGCAGTAACATGCTCAGGAGTGCACAATTTGAATTTAACTATTCATTGCCATAAATAAGTACAAACATTTTCTGTGAAAGAGGTCTGTGCATTGTATTCTGTGTTAGTAATGTCACTATTTAGTATCTATACAAATACAAGAAGGTGGTTCGAGAACACGACATGGCCCTGTATACTTGTTATTTCACCTTCAAAACAAGTAGAACTTCATTGAGAGCTTATAAATGGTCCAGTTAGAGAGTTGAGGTCATGACTCTTAGATTCTTCACAATGTCTTTAATCCTAAGGTCTTAATCCTACAGTTTGTTAACTGCACCATTTCAATGTCACTAGTTATCTCAACTCACTACTAACAGTAAACTTTTCGCTACTATCCATATTTTCAATTTGCCAATTTGAGGGCATTGGTATGGACGACATTTTGTGAAAGTCGCTGTGATTCACTTTCTTAAAAAGGAAATATGTTTACAAACTTTTCCTTGATTGATGCGAAATCTGCGAACATTTGCCTCTTGCAAAATTGAATGTTTTAAATACCAGTAAACTTGTCAGTTATAGCCAAATATTGTTTATGCGCTGTTTAATAAGGCCAAGAAAAAAAAAAACTTATGTTGCCCTCAAGTCGAAAAATTAAAAAACACTTTTTTACTGCTTAAAATGAGTTTTGAGTGATCAGTTTTTGATATTTGGGCCCTATTAAAAAAAACACAAAAAAAAAACACGCGACCCGATGTTTCATATTTTACGGTCGGTTGCTGAGGGCAAAAAAACAATTTTTTTTTTTGGCCTGAAGCTTTATAAATTGCTAAAATGGACTTTGTTAGCTCAATTCAAGACAGCTAACAATCATTTCCTTCAAAGGTCCTAATCTATATAGGTTATCGATACCAGGCACCATACCCATCCATAGTATAAATATTAACTTTGACCTTGGTTGAACTTTCCATTCTTGCCTGTTTTGTTGTCCCACCCATCTGTACTATTAGGCAGTCCTACTGTGTCTCGATATTGGCATACTTTTGTGTTAAGTGGCAAAATATAGGAGCAACTCAAGACATTTTATCTTTGCTAATTTACCAATCAAGGAAATTTACAGTAGCCATAATAAGTTACATGTTAAAATAAACAATATGCAGTAATATATTGAGTTTCAACAGCACTATTTTGTGTAGCCTCGTAGATTTATAAATTAGCACATAACAATGTTGGACATGAATTTAATTTATTTCGGTGATCTTAACCCCAGACATTGCACCTGCCATACAGTGTGCAGTGGAATCAAACAGATGGTATAAAGTGTTTAACAGTCCACAACAGCCTCATCTAACATAAATCACTGTAATTGTCATCTGTTCTGTTTTCTGTCTTTCGACTGTCTGTCTGTCTGTCTGTCTGTCTGTCTGTCTGTCTGTCTGTCTGTCTGTCTGTCTGTCTGTCTGTCTGTCTGTCTGTCTGTCTGTCTGTACAGCAATCTGTTTTGCAGCCACTACAATTCATCGTAATTATGTGCATTATTAATTATGAATAATAATAATTAGTATTGATAATTAAAACTACTTGTTAATAATGATTGGTTATGAATTGAACAACATTTGCCATTATCGCCAAATTATAGCCCGAACTGTATGTTGTAAATTGTGCCTGAACAGCATTGTATTTACTGGCAGGTCTGCTTTTACTGTAACCATGGCGATAGAGGTACTGTCATTCCATCAGAAAAAATCTTGATTTTTTAGTACATTAAATTTTGTAAACATAATCCACAAGAGGCTATAAATACAATATCATTCTTATTTTTACAGCATTGGCTGGACCCCACGAAAAATATTAAAAAACAAGTAAAAAGTAAGTGTCCATTAATTGCTTATTAGTTATTTTATTTTTATTTGACATCTGCATGTCTGACTTGTTTTGATTGTTTCAATGTGTAATGTACATGCTCTGTGTGTCTATGTAATAGTATGCTGTTAGTATAATGAGAGGATATTGCAAAGTATATACCATATGCTATTGGGAGTTTCGATCGATGCGAAAGCGTCCTTCTAGTGTGCATATGCTTTGCAGTATCCTCATGGTAACCGTAAAAATATATATCTTACTCGTACACCTTGGTGTAAAAAGCCCTAGACTGCGCAAAAAACTTTCTCTCTGTAATTTATTTTGAAACTCATTCGCAATCTTGGAATATTGCATCACTGGTGTTGATGTTTATAAAAATATGGCATGCTGTAACTTACACTGGCAGATGTATCAATGGTGGTATGAATTGGTATTATGCTGAAAAAGAGACATTTTTACAAACACATCTATTTTGAGGGTACATGCACAACAACTGGTGTAATAGTATATGCAAATAAATTACACATCCAAATATAGAAGTAACACTGGCTGCCAGTGTGTTACCTTTAAAATTGACATGGATTCCAGAAAATATAATGCTGCTATTGGAAGCTTTCATGACCGTGAAAATACGGTACTATCTGCATCTCTTTTTAGCATTGTTCAAAGCCTCCTAAACTTTTATACTTTCTATAATAATAAGTTACAAACTTATTTAGAAGTTTTAATTTTTAATGTTTATTTTCTTCTGTTTTCCAATCTTTGTTGCTGTAACTCTCTCCATGTTTTAACATGGATAGTGGCGATTGGTAAGTTGTTAGATTACAACATTGCCGCTGTTATTACCATACATGTGACAACTCATATTATTGCTGGTAATAGACATTTCCCCACTGTTATATAAATCAGTGTTTGTTTCGTATTTAAGATGGAGGCACTTGATCACAAGTCATATTGTGTACTACCGAGCAGTGTGTGTGTGTGATGTCTAATTGAACTTTCTAATCTGGGCACCTAGTAAATTGTTTTAAAAATTAGTTTTCTGTTGAAAACTTGTTTTTATTTCTGGAAAATTCAAGCAGAAAAAATAATTCATATTTTATGATGAATATGCAACGTCAAATTTGAATTTTTAATGAGCAGAGAAGATACAATTAAATGTAGATGAAGAATAATACAATTGAGTTAGTATCAGGTGAAGAAATATTGGTGAAAAAAATTACCGGATTATTAAACTAACTGACATCAGTCTGCACCAGGCTGTCAATTCTGTAATATTCTCTTTGATTCAGCCCATAACCATTTTTGATAAGTTGAATAAATCAGATATATTAGAGAGACCAATAGACATATGACAACACGCTGTCGGTGTCATCCATATTACATATCCAACTTCTGTACCGTTGAGCTTTTAAAATACAAATGATATATAAATTCTTGAATATTTTTTGTGGGGAAAATGTCTATAATTTGTCTATTTTCTTGCTTTAAATCTGCACACCTAGCATTAAATGTATATTTTTAAATTGTGCTTTTCATAAATGTAAAAAAATCCAGTCACAGATCAGTATATGTAATTTCCATATTCATTTGTGTTTTATACATAATTTAATGATGAAATTATTCTATAATATCCATCCCACACTTATTGTAATATGCAGCATTACGTCAATCACTATGTACATATTTTATCAAGGTGTGGACATTTGATGTCATCAATACATACGGGGTACACAGTGTTTTTGCGTCATATCATGTGCTGTGTTCTTCTCGGACAACGGTTGCATTCATGTGACATTATGACAATGCATGTTTAAAGGATTTACCACAGATCCTAAAACAACTGAGATCTATGATAACAAATTTATGTGCGCTTTTAACAGAGATGCGCTTTTACAGGAACAGATGCGAAAATACTCACATCTATAAAATTAAAAACTTTTTCATCATTATATTAAATGTGTAATGGTACAAGTTTTTGACACAGTAACTTATTTATAGACATCAGGATACCATTGAATCCTGAATATTTAATAGATCTGAAACTCAAGAAGAACATACATAAATTAGACACATTGTATAATTTATAATAATTGCATATAATTTTAATAATTGTTTAATCTACATGTACACCACAGTTGTTCTGACACATCCAACTGTTGCACATTTGGTTTCAATAATTTTATAGTCATTTTAAATATACACTAAATATAAAATTATGCAAATCGCGATATTCTCAGTGCACAATAAAAACAGCATTCAGTTTTAAGACTGATTCTATGAAATTTGTTAAATTGGCCAATTAATATTTCTTGTCTCATTCCAAATTGTTATCAAAGCTGTGGCACATAGTAGTACTTATAGATATTCATTCAAGTATTATTTATGCATATTTTGGTGTATTATCATAGCATGTGTGTTGCCATGGAGACATAAATTCATTGCGGGATATATACATTTCCATTCCAGTGTTCAAACTGATTCATTGTAACAGCATATAAAGTTACCAGTAATCGGTGCTTTTATTACGACAACTCATCATACGTGATTATTCTCCCCTCTAGTCATGTTTTTAATACCACACTGCCCAGTTTGAAATCACTTTTAAATACATTTAATAGTTATCAAATCGGTAATTGAAAAGTCTTGTTGTCTGTTTCTACTGGGCTCTTATTTTTTGGAAATTCATGGCTTGACCTTTCACCTATAGGGTGTATATTATTGGTTACAACTCCATGATAGTTTAAAGACATCATAATTGTACTACACTACTGTAGAATGCTTTATTGTCACTTGGAATTTCTTTTTTCCTGACGAGGGTGAATTCTTTAAACTTAGTCATACATGTATTTGGTGTATATTCTAACTTATGTATGTTTGTTTGTGCAGTTGGACCTCCGTATACTCTTAGACTCAAGGTCAAGTTTTATTCCTCAGAACCAAACAACTTAAGGGAAGAAATAACTAGGTAAGAATTTAATATTTATGTTTACAATCTATCTGTTCCATTTTGTATTGAATTGTTGTGCACTTTCCTTGTTATCCCGCATGGTACCTCATTATCTGTCTTACAAGTGGTTGAACATGTTCATTATAGTTTTCAAAATGAGGCGACGAGAACCGCTGATGAGATGTCTGGGTAAAAGCAAGTTTTTGTGAGAGTTTTGAGTGAGGATTTTGCAAATCATAAAGAGGGGGAATTTAACTTCAACCGAGCAGCAACCCAAGTATACCATCTCTCTTATAATTGTAATGTATCACACCACTAAGATTTTGCATTCTGTGTAGTTACTTTCATACAATTTGTTTCTATTTATTAGGTATTTATTCTTTTTACAACTGAAACAAGACATACTAAGTGGAAGACTTGAACCTCCGTATGAAACGGCCGTAGAGTTATCAGCTTATGTTTTACAATGTGAGTCATAACTATTCAATGTTTCACTTTAATTTCACAGCCTCATCTATGAGTATTATGCTATTTATAACTCTTTCTACATTGACACATACCGAATTACACTTATGTACAGGTGTTTCAAAGAACCAAATAAGTAGTGATTTTAATGATTCAGAGTATAAAAAAATGCATTTTTTGGTTTATTTGCATTTAATAATATGGTACTGTTTTATAGAAAAAACAACATCCGCAAGGTTTCATTTCAAGTTTCGTTCGATATTTTATTCTAGGTATCTCTAATACAAATACATGTGATTCTGGAACTTTTTAACATTTGACGTAACTGATTTATGTGAAAAAATCTATGCAGGAGACATGGACCAAACTACTAATAACATGGAATAAAAGTCATGCATATTCAGAGTTCAGTTTCCAAACTGACAGCAAAACATTTTGTATTACTGTAAAGGGGTTAATTATTCACTGGGTTTTAATTTAGCTTATTTCGCTGAATGAAAAATGCGCTAAATTAAAACCCAGTGAATATGTAAAATTGAGCATAGAACAAATTATCTAAATGATAAAACTGTGAATTTAAAACCCACTGAATATGCCTGAAATGGTAAATCAGTGAAATTTAAACCCAGTGAAAATTAGTCACTTTACAGTATTGCTGATTATTATTATTCCTGTATTATTTTCGTAAGTATTTACCAGCAATTGTTGGTACATTTTGTGTTGCAGTGAAACACCAGATGTTATATCCCTGCAAGTTTGAAAGTCAAATGAACAGCGCTGATACGAATAGTCGCATTGTACCTTAGAAGAATTAAATATCTATAATGTTGATTGACAGTATAAAAAACATATATTTTGCCTGGCTAATACGATTCCCATTCTTCTATTACTAGCTGAACTTGGTGACTTTGATGCAGAAATCCACACACCAGGCGTGGTGTCTGAATTCCGATTTGTTCCTAATCAGACGGAACAAATGGAAATAGACATCACTGAAATATTCAAAGAATACAAGTAAGTAGAGGCCATCATGTTATTGAATTAGGGGGATTTTCCACCACTAGAGGGCGCCATCATACTGTAGGTGTTCACAACAACAACAGTTCTTTCGATATGTTTATCTTTTGTACATATTGAAACAAATGAGCAAATATTTGGATACCATTTGCACAGGAAGTTATTTAGTTAATATTTAATAACTAATTTAACATTGACTCGCATGGTTTTTATCTGGTGGCATTTTTTTAAATAAATGAATAAAATTAACAATCATTTGAAAGCATTGATTACTGTTGTAAAATAAAAAATATGCAGTCAGTAATAATGTATGTGTTTTGTTTGTCAGAGGTCAGACACCAGCCGATGCGGAAATGAATTATTTAAATAAAGCTAAGTGGTTAGAAATGTATGGTGTGGATATGCATATGGTACTGGTAAGTAGAAATGGACATGTGTTGAATGTTTGTTGCAGTATAGCTTCCAGCCAGCACGTGTCAGTTTCGGTTCTGATCTTGCTTATTTTTCTGGCCAAGGCTTGGCTAATCTCATGCAAACTCAATATGATATTATTATTGTGGTTAGAATATTGTATAGAATGTTTTTAAACGTCTACATGTCCATTAATATTAATATTAAATTTTAAAGTTCCCTTTCTATTCCTTTTCATGCTAGGAAATGTGTTTGTATGAGAATTATATCACATGATGTGCATTAGCCAATGGCACTTTGATCTTTGTAATAGAAAGTATATGCAAATGACTAGAACTATATCACATGATCAACATTAACCAATGTCTTCACCATATATTGTATGCAAATGAGCAGATGTGAATAATTTAACATTTGTTTTTTTCCAGGGGAAAGATGGTAATGAATATAAGTTGGGTCTTACGCCGACTGGAATTTTAGTGTTTGAAGGAGAGACAAAAATTGGACTATTTTTCTGGCCAAAAGTTACAAAGTTAGATTTCAGTAAAAAGAAATTAACATTGGTGGTGGTGGAGGATGACGACCAGGTAAATTATTGATACCAATTGCCTCCCCTCTGACAGTCCTTCATGATAGTAACTATCAAGCTTCCCACATTTACTGTTAAGTTAGCATCATCATGCATCATGCAACGCTATTATACCCCACAGTCTCTCAATGCGAAAGCTTGTTTATGTTGCCATTACAACTTTTTTTGTAATGTTACATGCATCTGATCAGGCTTTAGGAAGTATCCCAATCCCGGTTTATATTGAGCTTTGTTTTTAACAAAAACGTCATTCAAAAAACAGCAGTTTCTTGTTTATTGAAAAATGTGAGTTCGCAACGTACATACCAGTACATGACTTACCCCTCTGATCCTAAAAAACATTACCTTCCATTTTTTGGCAAGTTCTGACACACATTGATAAACTTAAATGATGTCTGATTCAATTTGTGTTTTATCTGCAGGGTAACGAACAAGAACACACTTTTGTGTTCGTGCTGCATAATATGAGAGCGTGTAAACACTTGTGGAAATGTGCCGTAGAACATCACACCTTCTTTCGACTCAGAGCTCCCGTCAAGGGCGTTAATGACAAGCAAGGATTCCTACGAATGGGGTCGAGGTTTCGATACAGGTAACCCCTCCCATCATAACAAATTTTATTACAATCTATTTGTTGTTAATACTGTTCAATACTGTGTAGATTGTCTGCGAGTGACTCTGATGTCTCTCCCTACATGCATTGTACTAAGCGAATGCCTGATTGAAAGTAGCGAGATGACATTGTGGAATTGGTAACGTAAGCACGGTCACGAATAATGTTGATAATAATTATCGATATTGAACATGTATCCTCATTTGGATTTTGATCACATGTCAATAAGGGAAAAAAATATTAAAATGTTGCTGTTTGTACTCACTAAGAAATCTTGAGATGAACTAGAACTTTATGTGATGAATTGTTTTTACTTATTCTTCGTTGATGATCAGTTTAAAGTTCCAAATGAGTGTGTGGCAAGGAATGTGCACTAGTAATGGTGCAAATATATGTAAATGTTGTTTTTTCCTGACCAGTGGTAGGACAGAGTACCAGACTGCCAAACAGAATAAAAGCAGAAAATCGATTCAGTTCGAAAGAAGGCCAAGTCAGAGGTTTTCAAGAAGGCCGTCACATGCCAAAAGAGAAGCCATGAAAGGTAGAGTATTTGTCTCACTTCCCTCGTGTCGCTCTAGCTTGACCCTTGACCTTTTAGACTTTAAGAGCCAGATTATAAACGAAGAATGATAATGTCATTTGTTTTTGATTTGAAACGAAGAAAAAAGGGAGGATGACGACGCACCACTTGTTTGTTTATTTCGTTTTTGGTCTTAACCTATATTAATTTACATCGATCATGTCAATTGCATCTAGCGAGACCATGTACCATCACCATCTTTAACCTTTTCTCCATCAGACTTTGTCGCCCAAATTTTTCTGCACTTTTTTTCTTATTTACGTTAATATTTCTTGAAATGAACCCTAATTTTGGAGCCAACAGACAAAGTTTGAGTCGATTTTCAGTTTTTTCTCAAAAATGTTTCTGTTTCTGTCCCAATCATCTGAAGAAAAGTGTAGACTATAAATAGGACTATGTTGTGAATTTGTGATGAAAAAGTAGTGAAAAGGTTAATGATATCATTTATGATATTAATTTCTATGTTTTCATTTTTATAGCGCAAGAAAGGCTAGCAGCACAGAGGTATTTGAATGCTCAACAAAACACATCACTGCAAAGGTAATTATTTATCCTTACCTTTCTCTGATTTGAAGAATCCTACGTATAAATTATGCAAACTCTTGACAATATATACATATGTTTATGCTTGCATTTCCTTATATTGTAGTACATCGAATGGTGAAGTGACGGCAGCAAATGGAACAGCATTGGCAAACTCCAGCCCAGCTGTGGACACACTAGTGACATTGAATGATACAACACCTATGGCTATTACAACAACCATTACCACTCCCACTGCAAATTCCATAACAACAACAGGAGTAGTAGGTATCAAAGAAACAGACATTGATAACCTCACGATGGAAATCCATGATGAAACCGACCAAAATAAAGGTGAATCTCCTCAACCTGATGCACACGATATTACAAGCTCTGAAATTGATGATAATTCCACCACAGAAACAGAGCAAACAAGCTCGGTGGCAACTACAGAAACAGACAAGTCAAAGAGAATATTGAATCCACAATTCCATGTATCAACTCTGATGTCAAAACGCTGAGTATGTACTCTGGTTTCCTTTGATACCCAGGACTGATCCAACTAAAAACGCTGGTTTAACCAAGCAATCTAATCTAGAGAAAAAAAAAATGATTGTGTATATAATTATTTTTAACAGATACTCAAACACTTACATTTTAGGTCCTCCCTCCCCCTCCTACCCTGTATGTGGTATTTTATCAGTTCTATATGTATATAATGCATTTTAAATTCTACTAGTACCTGTATATATATAGCCCTGTGACGGTGGACATTCCAGCTGAGCTGTGTTTATAATGCATGCCGAAACCCTGCTCGAAGCAGAGTCGTCTTTCTCCCAATATTCGGTATTGTTTTCTTTCCTTTATGAAGCTGCATGTCCGTGAGTATGGAATCTGTAAACGAATGTCCTATTATGGTGTATTTTTAGCCCCCTTTAGTTTAGCGTTTCATTTCTATTTTATATCATAATTGGAATTAGTGAGTGAGTCATCTATTTTTATTTTTTGTTTTATTCATACCCTAAGTAATCATGTTTTTAACTTCTCATGCTTTAATCTCGATCATGAGAATAAAAAGTTATTTTTTCATACTGCAATCTCAGTGCCATTTATTTTCAGCATGTCTATGTTGCATGCGGTTTTGTCGTGATGTTGCTTTGCTCGTACATTCATACGGTGGTCCAGCATGTAAGCCTCACTTTTGACTTTACATCCACATGAAAACATGTCACACACACAAAGCAAGTTATCCATCCATACATCCATCACGTCTTGCTGCCTGTGCGAAAGTCAAGTCATTGCTCTTGTTTGTTTGTTTGTAATATATAGGTCCGGAAGAATCTGCCGCAGCCAAACTGAAAGGTCTTGAATCGCCCACCACACATGCATCAACAACAACATCAACAACAACAACAACAACGCTGTCACCTAAGGACATAAACACTTTACCCAACAACCAGCAGCCCATAGATAAGCTGGCTGGCGCTGTAAACACGCTCACACCCGACAACATGAAATGTAACATTTTGAAAGCAAAAGTTGATAAGGAAAAGAATTTGTCTATGGGCATGTATGACACTGACAAAGTAAGAAAAGATAAACTTGTAGTTTCACTGCCACAAGAAGACGGGGAAACATCACCAACCTTGATGTGAGTTGCACAGTGTAAACTTTGCACATTTTATTTTGTAACTTTTGTGTTTTTCAATGAAAAATATGAAGCAACAGTACATCAATAACATGCAGTTCATTTGTTGAAGATGGAATTTATTTATATTTACCTAAATTGTTCTAATGAAAATTAAAAATATATGGCTTCTATAAATGTTCTTCATATTGTGTACTTGCAATGAACTAATACAGTATGTAAACATAAGTAAATTCCAGCAAAAACAAAATATGACACATGACATTTCACAACACATGTTCATTAGAATATTCTAGTTCCCATCAAATAATTAAACAATTATAATAACATGTGTTCACACATAAATTGTGTTTTGGTGGGTAGATATTTGTTTAAATGTTAGATTGTGTTTACGTCATAATCATCATTTGGTCAGTTTATGTTTGTATTGTATACATCTCTATGGCGATAGTTCTAGTCGCACCACAAAAGCTTGACACTTCAAATTTCACGCTTCACCTGCTAAATTAATTCTTCAAAGCATGGAGTAAGTAATACATTTCTTCCACATATGAAATGTACATATGCTGATAATCAGTTTAGTTATTTTATCGCTGGACGGTATTGACGTTCTCAGTATTAAACTTGTGTGCTGTCACTGTATTTAACTAATTTTGTTTTTAACATTGACTTGTCTTGATTGTTGCATTTCATTAGTTTAAACTAATATTCATTGTGTTCAAGGTTTAACATGTCAGTACAGATTTAAACATTGATGCAGTGTAACCATGACTACAAGGTCATTGAGAGTGAAAAGAAAAAAAATATTTCCTTCCTGGGATCTCATTGATTTCGCAATAAATATAAAATCCAACTCCCTGGAACCATTCATTGGCATTGGGCAAATCACCCATAGTTTAACTATGTTCAGACCCCCCCCCCCCTCCCCGTCCCATTAGTTATCATTCTTCCCACTCATCAAACAAACTGTATTGTTTTATGTCATTTTTTACTCATCTCGATGACGACTATATAAAGTAATACATTTTTCTCTATCATGTTCCCCTTTTTACTTTTTTTCTTCTCCAAATGCCGTTGCATTTTTTCTTGGAAATTAATTCGACCCCTGTGTGTGTGTGTAATGTGCTACCACATCTAACACAATGGTATGTATACTTATATCATAGATGTTAATCTCGTAATTCAATGTGTAAACTTGGTGTGGTTTCATTCTCACTGCCTGTTTGATGTGTCTTGGTGTACCATCTTACATGTCCCTTTCAAAATGTACAAGTCTACCAGAATAGAGCCCACTTGTTAAGGCATGTGAGAAATGCCTTACTATTTGTCTTCTGTCTACATCTACGTTTAATCTATACACAAAACGTACACACATTCCCAATAGCATGCTAATTTTAAAACTATTCAGCAACATTATGATAATCACAAATGATTAATCATGTTGGTTAGTTATTCAAGCAATTGAAATCAAAAACACAAATATGGCAGTGCAAATGACGGCTGCAGTGACTCGTTCTGTTGACTCCAGGGTACAACATTTTCTCAATCTGAACACTTGCAGTTAAAATGTTGACATTTATTAGTTACGACAATTCTAATATTGATCTATCAACACAGCCGCTATAAATGTTTTTACAGACTTTATTGCATCACTGCTGCCACTTTTATCATCACAAAATGCTAACCTCCACGACACTCCAGTCTTAGTATAGACTTGGGTTGCCTAGCACGGGTATACCAACTCTTGCGACTAAAGAAACAACCAATTACATTTTCTGAATATTTTTAGTTGAGGATTTCATGTATTTCACTTAGCAATCTTGACATTATGAATAATACAAGAATTATTATTACATTCCAGTCATACTACATATGTCACCTTTGGTATACTGTTTCCAATAAGTTATTTTTGTCAGTATTTGCATTAAAAAAAATATATTTATAACCCCCAAACTACCCCAGTCTAAGTTAATTTTAATTTACAATGGTTATAATAATCAGTTAGAGTTACAATATTTCAATCAGCTAAAAAAAATTTATTATGTAGCAATACAGATGGCCATAGCATTCCTTTCCTTTCATTTAGTATTGTCACAACTATTGGAAAATTTGAAGTGCAATTAAGAAATTTTGTATTCTGGCAGGTGTAACACAAGATTTTATTAGGACAGTCAATACTACTATTCCAAAATTCAATGAATTGGCAAATACTGGGAAAACTTCATTCCTTCTCATAAGTCCATGTCTTTGCCAATGACATTAGATATGTGAAATATCAAGATGAAAACTCAGTGAGAAATGGATCCATTCATTTCCTTTTAATCTTTTCACCCCTTGTGACCATATATGGTATGAGCCGATTATTCAAATTATGGGTTGTACCATTAATATGCTAATGAGGGTGAGAGGGTTACATCTATTCTTTGTTCTTAAATCCTGTATTTGTTGCATGCTCATTAACTCACTTTTTATTTCTATGTACAACTAAATGCTAGATGGTATTGTAGTAAAATTATGTCTTGTGGTCTTGTTTTTCTCTAACTGTAGCTTATTTAATATTATGTGGGCTGTCGTTGACTGTGTGCTTTGTTGTGATGTATATGCTTTGATAGAAAAAGTTTGCCTTTAGAGGGCGCTGTCACATTGTGACACATTACAGTAATAACAGTAGAAATGCAACTAATTTGACTCAAATGGCATATTGTAGTATAAAATAGTCCACGTTGTGTCTTTATTAGTAAACTCGCCCAAATATATCCCCCAGTTTCTGCAGTATTGGATATGTAGATTTTACCACTGTGGAGATATATTAGGGTGGGGTTGTTAGATTTGTGGCTGTACTGCACATTTGCATGGTGGCACCTGTACTTTACTAAGCATGTGCTTTATTGTTGTATCACTGTAATCACAATGAAAAATCCTAGAGCAGTGGTCTCTAGGTGTGATAGACACTCAATCTACTGACCCTGAAGCACTCGTTTATAAATCAACGCATTTTTAGTGTTATTTGTGATCGTTTGATTATTTTGACAGTTATAACTGCATGTAAGCTAGCATGCCACCCAGTAATAATATGATTGTGCTGAATTCAAAAATGGGATATCAGTTGTCCAGGTCTTCTTCAGGGTTACACTGATTGTGAGAATTTACCTGGGTGGAAACAATATGTGGCAGTATAATTGGCAAATTTTTATTCTGTTGCAGACGTACCAACTCTTTGCCTTCTCAAAGCAGTGATCAGCTCACAGTTAATAAAAGTATGAAGAACTATAGCAGTATGCAGAATGTGTAAGTTTGAATAGTGAAAACAGATTCTATGCTAAAATTAATAATGATAATATTGTAAAATACATTATTTGCACTGAATTGAAGTGAAAATAAAGTTCAACGAATATGTTTTCCCTATATTTAACATTGAACTCATCAAAAATCAGTGAAAATAAATTCCATACAAATCAACCAAAAATTCTTCTGAGAGAAATTTCATTCCAGCTAAAATAAAGTATTTTACAGGACCAGTCCATGAAAACACAAGTACCAATAATCATTAGTAGCGTTCATGCACAGCTCCTTAGCATGTGCTAAGTAAACATGGGTGAGCACTAAGCACAGGCTAGGAAATGCTACAGATTAAATCTGGCCTGTTTTTAAGACCCGGTCCAGACCCTTAGCACGGGCTAACAAAGTGTGCGTGAATGCTTAGCATTGTATTCAATGTTCATTTGGACAATTTACTATTATATTCATAACTGTTAATAAATAATATTAAATATTGCTCGTTTTTTGTTACAGTGGTTCCATGAATTCCTCCACATCAAACACTTCGCCGCAACCACAAACCACCGCAAAATTTACCCTGCGGAATCTCCCCAGCCACACAAGCCCGATATCAAAGACTGTGAGAACGAACCAGACTGCTGAAGGTGAACGGCACTGTAACTACAAAACCAAGTAGTCTACCGGGTGTAGGTGGTACTGCTAGTACAGTAGCTGCAGCCACAGAGGGTCCAATATCACCGATACTAGTCACATCCCCCACGTCCAAACTACAGGTATGTATACAAAATTTGACAATGTTGATTATTAGCATATTACAAATTATTCATACCAAACCCTATATGGTACTCAATGGTAACGATATGTGTTAGATGTGTGAATTGCATTACATCATATTGGAGGAGTCATCACCTGCACATGCGTTTACAAACAAACATCTACCCATGAGCCTTTGCGTTTTTAAATGTGTGTTGTCATTGTCAATTGGAACTCAATTTCTGCATGTGCGCAGGTGACAACTCAACATTTAAAATATACTATTTCTCACCGGATTTATGTGAACTATAAGTTTCCTGGCTTTAAAAGCCAAACTTGAAACTTTATACCATCTTTACAATCTTTGCTGCTGCTGCACATTTCTCAAGTTATTAGCTTAGCCACTTTCCCCCGAAAGATTTGTTTCACTTTTACACCACATTCAAACTGATGCTTGCACTGATCAGAAACAAATCTTTTATATGGTGAATCTTATCTCCTAGTGTTTGTGCACAAATGATTTTATTTTTGACTCCTGTGTGACACCATTATCTAAATATTCTCAGCACACAGGAGTTCTTTCTATGCTTTATTTGATTAATATATATAGAGGTGATCGTATGGAAAAACAATAACAGCTTTGAGATTTTATTTTGATGAACACTGCAAAATGATTCGGAATTTATAAATTAAATTTTGAAAATATTTCCCTGTATATCATCTTGTGCACAATTACTCTATCGCTTGGCAGGGTCTTTTCTTTGTGTGCTTATTTTTCTTCCTCACATCTTCAGAGTAACTCTTTGATGGTTCGTCGTAGGCGTCAATCAATGGAAAACTCCAGACAAGATCCATGGGAGATGGTATGAAAACACTTGCATGGCTGAACCCTAACCACTGTATATATATTTGTGATGGCTATGTCATCTTTATATACTAACTGCTTGTTACATGATTTACAGATCCAGTTTTGTCCTAGGGATAGCAATTACAGCCCCAAGCCAGGATGGCAAAAAATATCCCCTGGCCAGGAGGGTAATTACAGTAGAACCCCCTACCCGAGATGCCAATTTATAGCCCTGTACAGGAGGACAATCACAATCTCTAACCAGGATGCCAATTAATATCCTCTAGCCGGATGGCAATCATAGCCAACCCCTAACCAGGTGGGCATCTTAGCCTCTACCCAGGATGCAAATTATAACTTCTGTCATGTTGGCATCACTGCATGACATTAACACACAGTAGAAACACAACGATAGTGTCCCTTTTTGGTGTGTAGCTTCAGGCAACAATGCTAGCTGTTTTGGCTTAACTTCTAATAATAATAATAATAATAATAAT